ATCACGCGTGATAATGAGGCATTCTTCCCTGCGGTTCATTTTCGGATTTCTGGAATTAATCCAGAGTGCCTCGAGAGTTTTTCGTGCCTGTGTTCTTGATTCGCGTGCGAGGATCGTGACACATACTTCGAAGTCGTCCCCGTTATGTCTCTGGATCCTATGCGTGCCTAGCGGGGTATTTGGTCTATTTTTGCCGGCTAGGTGTTCTTTCATGCGGACACAGAGGGGTCTACCCGTTTCGCCAGTGTATTCGTCACCACACGTCTTACAGGAGATCAGATAAACTATACCCGAGCTCATGCAATCACCGTCTCTACCACTGGGGCAAATTATGCAATTTTGAGTTGCACATAGACGGTCATATAGGCGGTTACGAACTAGCTGGCGCTTAAGATTACTCGGTGGTATTTCAACTACGCTCACCGAATTCTCTAAGCCCGCCCTTCTTAAGCGGGCTATTACTATAGTCACTGTTTCAGATAGTTTTTTTATTCTAGGTGGTTTTCTGAATTACATTAATACTTCATACACCATGGAATCTGGAGGACTAGCAGTGGGTACCGCCTCCCAAAAAAATTACTCGTGAAACTCCTTCAGGGAAGAGTATCATGTTCCGGTGTTCAATGAGTTGCGAAGCGAATAAGCTAATAATGAAAACTTTACGTTTGCTCACCTGAAACAGTTGATATCAATGTGGTTAAAAGTGACACATGGTATATTTGAACCACTTCTATTTTTAGAAGTCACACTAATATTTTATGCTTTGTGGCTCAGAACTTTCTAGCAATCCGAGACAGGGAGAAGTATTTGGCCGCAGGTCATTCGTGAGATATCAGCATTTTAGTGCTATTCTCTTTTGCGTCAAACACAGAAGGAAGAGCACCTTGTTATTTTTTGCGGCGCACTTATTTCAAGCCACTAGTTTTTGGTTCTGGACCAAACTCCTATAAATAATTGGTGCTCATCGTAAGTGTTTGAATATTTAAACGACAACGCTTTCGACGTTAGTCATTCTCTGAAAGATGCGCAATGCATTCGACTTCATCAAACCCCAAAGAGGTGATTAAATGCATAACTGACCTATAGGTAGTGGTGAGAATAGCGCATTCGTGGACACTACCTGGACACGGGTGGTTCGCCTTCTCGTTCCTTCGCCCTCAGTCGTTGTCCATGGTGGTGCTTTTATTCAAACATGGTGACACGTATGAGTCACATATCGTGATCTGTCAAATAAGTGCAGCTGCGTGTACAGTTGATTAACTTTGTTTAGGATATTAACGAGTGAAAAACGCGTGGAAGACCAGGATCGACTTTCTATTAGGCCCGGCATTGGAACATGAATGCACCGTTTTCTTGCTCACCAATCGCAAGGTTGTTAGGCAGCATACGTTTACTTCCATAGAACAATGCGATCAGTACGATACAACAGTAGCTGACGTTTCGGCAGTATCGTCTTCTTCAGAGCCTGGAAGAACACAGGTACAGACTCCGGTCAGATTTTGACGACTAAAGGATTCTGCGAATTATTACGCACAAATTAGAAAGCTGGCAATAGGACAGCGGTTGGCACCAACTCTCGCCATTGCGTTCATGTCTAGAATAGAAGCCCCGGTTATCGATCTCCGGCAGCTACTCTACAACAGATATACAGATGATTGTTTTGTCATCTACTGCACTCAGCAGGAGATGGACAAATGCTTTGAATTATTGAATGAGCAGTCTGAGTACATTAAATTCACCCGGCAGAAACCAAAAGAGGCCTGGCTTCCATTTCTTAACGTTCAAATCAACTCATCAAGTAGCAGTTACATGACAAAGTGGTACAACATACTGGTTCATTTTCTCTCTTCCCACATTTCACACACAAAGAAGGCGCTTGTGAGAAACATGTTTCGAACATCCACCTCTGTACACTACCAGGAAACTAAAGGAGTCGCGCGACTTGGCTCGGCAAATAGCCATCTCCAATGGCTGCGAAATCGTAACCCCACGAGATAAGTTTAGAAGGAAAGCGACGCACCTACTCGAAACACTTGGCCAAAAGAAAGTCCCGTTTATGTTGCCTTTTATAAGCGATGAAGTAAGCGTAGCTATAAAAAGATGCTTAAGAAGGGCAGGTCTAGAGGAATCGGTAGCGATAGTTGAAATACCATCGGCTACTCTACGGCGTCAATTAGTTCGTAACCTCCTATATGACCGTCTATGTGAAGCAACAAATTGCGTAAGTTGCCCTTACGGCAGGGACGATGATTGCATGAGTTCAGGTACGATATACCTGATCTCTTGTAATAATTGCGGAGATGAATATATTGGCGAAACGGGCAGACCTTTGTGTATCCGTATAAAAGAACACCTAGATGGTAAGCGAAAACTAAGTCAAAGTACCCGATTGGGCACGCATGGGATACAAAAGCATATCGGAGACGATTTTGAAGTAAAAGTCAATATCCTTGCACAGGAGCCCAAAACACCAACGCGAAAACTTCTTGAGGCTTTTTGGATAAATGCCAAAAACCCTACAATGATTATCAGGGAGGAATTCCCAGAGGTCACAGGCGACCTGACTCCGTATGTTCGCATCAATTTCTGATGTGGGATGCTGCAGTCATGAACTGTATGCGACTATAATCAGCTATTCTAATCTTCCTCATTGGAAGTCACGAAAAAGCGGTGAGTTTTTTGAGAAGCTGTTGTAATCATGTAATTACCATAGAGTTTTTATGTGTCATTGAAGCGTTTGGCCTAGTAGATTGTATATCAGTATACCCTTCCAGGCCCTGAAGAAGGCGATACTTCCGAAACGTCACAAGTACTGTTGTGTTGCATTGTTTTTCTATGGACGCAAATGAATGCTGTATAACAACCTCATGATTGCTGAACAAGAAAGCGACACATTCATGCGTTGAAGATTTCAAAAATTACTAGGAAATGAAAATGGTCTCTTCACATTTCCTGTTGGCGGAACAGACTAGATATGGACACCTTTGATGTCACCCAAATGTACAATGGGAAGACCTTCATTGGAAATGCACTGTTCTGCTGGCTTCACTTCCTAAATATGGCTAATTATACATCGCTATTTATTCCTCAGATTATGATTAACCTACCGCTACTGAATAGCCATTCAGAATGAATCAGCTTTATGGCTTTGAGATAAGCGGTTGTTTCAGTCATTCACTTTACCTCGTTCGCCGAACTGGACGGTCCGGCTTCCCTCTCGTCCACGTTGGTGGCTACTGATCTTTGCTGTAAGTCTTCTTTCGTTTCATGCTATTATTTTTTCTGTGATTCGTCTTCTGGTATTTTTTCATCCAGTTCCTCGAAAGTGTTCGGCTATCTGGTTCGGCCGCAACTTCAGGATTCTGTCTTAGGATTCTGGATGCTTCACGATTCTTATTGAGCGTTGGTGGAGTTCTATTCTTCCTGTAATCCCTGGATAACCTTGCTAGAGCGTTCACAGGTATCTATTACAGGAAATCACCCTCTTTTGTCAAAGTGATGGAGGTTTTTTGGAATGAATTTGATACCACCTTACCCATCTTGCAAAGATGTGGAGCCTGTTGACTCGAATGGGGATTCGAGCCAAAAGCGATGAGTGTGTCGTACACTTCACTAACGCTATATTGCTGATATCGCTACCGTAATCTTCATAGATATTGTACGACACCCATAATCAAATCTACCAGTGCTTCTAGAATTTTTAGGATGATGCCAAAATTTTCCAGCAGATTGTAGCGGTCATGCTTTTAAGATTGTTCATCTTGCCGGCATTAGGACGCAAATGCTGCCTTCGTTCTATAGTTGCGTTTCGTGTTTGCTCTTTTCTGACTCATTCTTTATTTGCTAAAAAACGCCATGCATGTGTTTTGATATTGAGACCTTAATTTAACGCTGTTATCACTTTAGTTTTATTTTTCGCCTTTGTATTAAACAACTTATCCATCCATCATGTTAAGATGTTGTTGGGGGTGCTATGGACAGTCATCAAACTGATTATCGGAGTAGTGATGATGGCGATCGGATCGGCAATTTTGCTCGTAAAACTGAAAGAAAGGCGACGACGTCCTGTTACCACTGACGGTCGAGTCCACGAAATATTTCTACCTGTTCTCGAAACTTTCAGGTTAGATCAACTTCGGTTTTTCAGAACATACTTGGAAATATTATTCCTATTAACGGCACGTTTGCTTTCTAAACTTCTATTTGTGAAAATTCTGGAAAATATCCTCAACTGTAAATATCTGTATCGATCTACAATGTGTATAAATCACGAGAACGCCTGGTGTTAACGACATTCTGTTTCTCAGAAGTCCTACATTTCACTTTTGAAATTTGTTCTGTTCATGAAAGAACAACCTAAACAGCTCATCACTCGAGAGATGATAGGCAGTGGTCAGTACTCTTTTTTAACCGTCTAATTTACTTCTAGGAATTATGACGATATTTCAGCATCATCTCATCATCAGGTATTTTCGCATCGGTTGATGCCCATCGCTGTCAACTGTCTGTCACCTTGTTGTGCTTTTCACATTAGATGAATTCTGACGTACTAAAGTAAACTGGCCACAAGTTGCTAGAGAAATCAAAACACTCATCATGGGATAAGGCGATGGTACTTATGTTGTCACACCGCAGAAATAGGATGGGATAGCTGGCAACCAGAGGCATGGTGTGGGTGCCTTGCAAGGCTTTTTCTACCCGGATGCATAACTTATTTCTCACTTCCACGTTCATTTGTGGCAACCGATTTTCTTTTATTTCTTGAACAGAAACGACACATTGATGTGAAATGTTGCTAAGTTTACAGGAACAATTTCCGTCGTGGCTGGGAGCGCGATGGGGCTGCGCTCTGTGTATATTACCAGGTTTCTGTTTCGGTTTTGTTCAAAGATTTATAAGAACGAGACTCTCGTTCCGCGCAATTAAGTCTGGGAACACGTGGCTCCCATTAACGGGAATTGTTGAATGATCTCGATTTTTGTAATAACAAATAAACTAGAATGCGAAAAATTGTCTTGACCACTTTGTTTTTCTTCTGTCGAAAAATTTTACGAAATCATCATGTATTCTATTTTGTGCTCGGAAAAGAAGGGTATTTAATAAACTGTTGGGAGACAACGTGTTCATGTCACAGGACCACAACATTGTGTGAAATGAGTTCGTAAGTCGTATGAAATGCTGAGATATTTGCAAAACTCCGGACCACAGGTGTATACAGTGGAGAACGAACACTCGCTGTTGTCCTTACCGGGGAGCAGCGCACTTCACCACTACACCATCCGGGTCGGAAAGTGCGCTGCTCCCCGGTAAGGACAACAGCGCGTGTTCGTTCTCCACTGTATACACCTGTGGTCCGGAGTTTTGCAAATATCTCAGCATTTCATACGAGTTATATTTCGCAACATAACCTGCCATTAAGAAGAAAAAAGGCAGTAAATAAAAGAGTTAAGATTGAGTTCGTAAGGTTTTAATATCCTTCAGCAATTTCAGTTCNTACCGGGGAGCAGCGCACTTCACCACTACACCATCCGGGTCGGAAAGTGCGCTGCTCCCCGGTAAGGACAACAGCGCGTGTTCGTTCTCCACTGCATACACCTGTGGTCCGGAGTTTTGCAAATATCTCAGCATTTCATACGAGTTATATTTCGCAACATAACCTGCCATTAAGAAGAAAAAAGGCAGTAAATAAAAGAGTTAAGATTGAGTTCGTAAGGTTTTAATATCCTTCAGCAATTTCAGTTCCCACATATTTCTCGCGGATCCGTGCACATACACATGCATAGAAATCAGCACCACCAACACGTACAGATGCTCAAACATACATAGTGCACACATATATACATATATATACGTTTATACCTACATGCATACATTCACATACATACGTGTGCACAGGTCTGCCAATTGCGTACTGTCACACTCACATAAATGACTTCTTCTGGTTGTTTAAGAAGAAGCTGTTTTACTTCTTCTGCTGATAGTTACGGTGCCTGCGAGCTGGTGATGTTCCACTCATTCAGGGCGAATGCTTCATCGATATTTGGGGCGGCTTTGCTGACCGAGAATCGGAACGGCGATGGAGGGAAGACACGCTACAAATCATTTTCAGCACTTCGAAGGTAGGTGTCAGTTGTTTTAATCTAAATTCATGTTAAATTCATTCACAAGTGATGTTATATCGAGTAGAGGTTCTATCAACGTGTTGTAAATAGGTGAGTAGAAAACAATTTCTATTGCCAAGTTTGGTAGGTGATCTGATTATGTACAAACTCTCCTGTCCAAGAAGTTGTGTTATCAGTGGGTCAAAAACTACAGATCTGTTTCCAGTCGCTATTTCGAACCCAATAGAATAAGGTCGTAAAAAGAAACTAACCAATGGGCCAAATAATCCCTCTACAGTGACATCTGCTGTCCGCATTTTATATCTCAAATAAGGCAGCGTGGGATGAGTCTCTTTTTAACTTTTTTATTTACTGCCTATTACGATCACACCAGGGTATTATGTGTGATACAACTACAAACATGCTTAGGTTTTTGAAAAACTCCGGACCACAGGTGTTTGCTATGGGGAATGAACGCGCTATCACCGGGGGCTAGTGTGTTCACCACCACACCATGCGGGTATTTCGTTCCGACTGTTCGTTCCTCCTCCGCGGACACCTGCGGTCTGGAGTCTAGCAAATATATTAGCATCATTGTAGTCTCCTTTTATTTCTTCAACAGTTTTCGGTCCCCATAACTTCTCCATTTTGTCTATGTTCGTCTCCTTCACAGCCATATCAAAAATTCATAAAACCGGCCAGTTGCATTTTATCAACTTGAAACCGTCTTGGAAGATCCAAACGTCGTGAGGGCCAGGTTCTCTATTCATTTGTGAGCTTGTGAAATTACTGATTTCTCTTCCCATTCCATTCATCTTGGTGAGATTTATCGCACAATTGATGGGACATGAAAAAATATTTTTAAGGTGCTGAAGGATTTACGTACGTTGTTAAATCGGTCACTAAAGATCTATATCAAAGTGGTTAGATACAATGTGCTAAAGAGCTTGGAAAAATGCCTGAATGAACATAAGACGCTTTTAAAAATATGGGAATTGTTGATAAACTTTAGAAAAATTGGAGGAAGACTACAGAATGATTTAAGCAAATGAAAAGTAGAATTTCTCGACGAAGTACACGGAATAGCCGGTCCCGTAGAGAAAAGCAAAAAGAGAAATAGCTGGACCATTTCGGATGGTATGAATTGAGTCCAGTGCATAGCATGTTGAGCAAGAAAAATTTGAAGTCGCGAGTGGATTAACATACAGAATGGGTTACGTCAATCAACGGTCTGAACTATAGGCGGTCGGTGCGATCTGCGTTGCAATGTTGGTGGATCGAGGTCGCCTGAAATATTCCGACAAAATATCGTCATTCTGGCCGCAGTTTGCCAAGCATGGAAAAGAAAACATAACGGTCGAAATGGTATTGGCTCACACGGTCTGCTCTTCTCTTCTATAGAATAGAGAGTCGGACCTCTGGTAATCTCACATTTTCAGTCAGGTCTCGCTTGTCTTGATGGAAAAATTTCATATGAAGATGCTGCAGATCACGAGAAAATGGCAAAATTCATAGAGGAATCTGTAGGTCGAATCACTTACTGAAAGTCGCAGTCATGAGCTCCTAAAGCGGTTACCATTTTGCAGAGGCCAATATGGGAACCAGGGAAAGCTGTGGGTTATCACGCTTTGTCATATGGATGGTTAGTGGATCAGATCATTAGGCGAACCGATATCAAACATCGAGGAATCGGCCAGTTCTTCAAAGAGGAAATCGCCGACAAGCACGGTATGTCATATTAGTCAGTGTTGGTTGTTTCCATGAGGGAATAGTAGTTACCTGTCAACTAACCTTGTTTAAGAATGCGTCGTTTTCTTGTTCAGCAATCGCGAGGTTTTTAAACAGCATACATTTCCTTCCATAGAAAAACACAATGCAATACAACACTAGCTGACGTTTCGGCACTATCGCCTTCTTCAGAGCCAGGGAGGGTATAGGCCAAACGCTTCAATAACACTTACAAAAAGACGAAAAGCTCTCCTGTGGTAATTACATGATCAAGAGCTTCTCGAAGAACTCACCGCTTTTTTCGTGACTTCCAATGAGGAAGTTTAGAACAGCTGATTATGGTCGCATATGGTTGACGACTGCACCATCCCACATCAAAAATCGATGCGAACATACGGGGTCAGGTCGCGTATGACCACCGGGCATTCGTCCCTGCTATTCATTGTAGGGTTTTTGGCATTTATCCAAAAAGTCTGAAGAAGTTTTCGCGCTGGTGTTTTGGACTCCTGTTCGAGGATATTGACTTTTACTTCAAAATCGTCTCCGCTGTGCCTTTGTATCCTATGCGTGCCTAGTGGGGTGCTTCGTCTTAGTTTTCGTTTGCCATCTAGGTGTTCTTTTACACGGATACACAAAGGTCTGCCCGTTTCGCCAATATATTCATCTCCGCAATTGTTACAAGAGATCAGGTATATCGTACCTGAACTCATGCAATCACCGTCCCTGACGTAAGAGCAAATTACGCAGTTTGCTGTTTCACATAGACGGTCATACAGGCGGTTACGAGCTAATTGACGACGTAGAATAGCCGGTGGTATTTCAACTATCGCTACCGACTCCGCTAGACCTTCCCTTTTTAGGCACCGTTTGATAGCTATACTTACTTCATCGTTAATAAAGGGCAACATAAACGGGGCTTTCTGTTGACCAACTGTTTCGCTTTGGCGCGTCGCTCTCCTTCTAAACTTATCTCGTGGGGTTACTTGTTTAGTGTTTAACCTTGTTTAGTAAGTAACAGATTACTTGCATACTTGGATGGCACGTCCTCATTGGCTGTGCCGACCCCACTATAAACCTCCATTTTTTCGGAGATTTGTTGGTTTAGCCATTGTAGTTCCCTGGAGTCCCGAGGTCGGCCTGGCCAACGTCTACCCCAGGTCATCACCACCACGAGCAGTCGCAGCCCTTGTGGATAAGAGGAGGATTTGGCACCATGCGACTTTGATCTCTTTCCTAAGCTTCTTGATGGAAACGCTGGACTTCTGCACTTTGGAGACCCTACCAGGGGTATGAATCACCAGCTGTACGTTCCAGCAGGACACCTAGGAACACCTTCCAGCCACGATGAGGCGGTAAACTGTTGGGAGGAGTAATAGATTGCTTCAAAGTAATAGTATCGTAGATATCATCGATATTTTCATGTAGATCGGTTACATTCAATAACTTAATTCGTCTGGATGTTGCAGTAAATAGCTTATTATCGTACCTTTAGTACATCGTTCATAATTGTTTCCTCGTGGCTGTTATGCTGTTCTATTTACTACTAACTAATCAATTGTTGTACACAAAAGCCAGTTACGAGAGAACAACAAATGTCTATCGTAGCTGTTTATGATGCAAAAAATCAATGAGCTTCCGCAAATCGGTTGTAAAATATGGCTTAAAGTATTTGTTTCTTGTGTATAGGATAGCTCAGAAATAAATAGCATGGGAAATGAAGACAACCATTGCAAGAGATATTTTTCTAGGACTGGAATTGCACTTTGGTCTACCAATGGAAAAAGCATGGCGTGTGGCCAGAATCACTCGACCGACCCTCATTGACCGCATCGACGAATTTCTTACTGATCCGAGTAAAAATGAACAGTAAATCAGGGTTTTGACTAGTCGTAATCTAGCTCACTCATTGCTAATGCGTGATTAACCGTGATCAATAGGTAGTATGAACATGAGTCCTGTAGGATAATGATAAACTCTGTGGACTTCCCAATGACCTTCAATTTCTTAGTGTTATCGTAATTCCTTCTTTCAGATAATGTCGACTATGCATTCATATTCAAGCAGTACCTTCGAGGTGGACTTGGTATGAAGGTGGCAACTAACCCTTCATGGCTGCAAACTATTTTTGTAAGACATTGAATACTCGTAGTGTTTTGTAGTCTTGTGCTACACTGACTAAGGAGTCCTATTCTCGAAATTTTTCACTTCTTATCAGGAAAACTCGGTGAATATCTCCTTAGATGATTTCTAATAAGTACATCGGTTAACGTCGTGTATAGAGTAGTGTCTCTGTATGAAACTGTATAGAACTAATTTTTTTTATAAATGCATTGTTTTCGTTTTCAGCAATCGCGAGGTTTTTATACTCCATACGTTTACTTCCGTACAAAAAACACATGCAACACAACAGTAGCAGACATTTCAACAGCATTGCCTTTTTCAGAGCCTAGGAGGGTATAATGGTATGAAGAGCGCTATTACCTGTGTCACCTGTAGTCTCGGTGATCGTCGAACGACTCGAACGGGCACCAATACTAATAATAATAATAATAATAATAATAAATAATAATAATAATAATAATAATCCTAATAATAATAATAATAATCTTCGATTTTTCCCTGTCGTGTCCAAGAGTAGCCCAGTGGGTTCTGCTCGCTCTAGGGACTCGTCGAGCATCATATTTTTCTTCTAGGCTTTTCGTCAAGAACTCTGAGCATCGAGTCGGTGGTCTTCTTGCAGTGTCTTGAACGTCCCGGGGAATCCAGACACTAACGGCTCTTGTCCGTTCTTTAAGAACACTAGGCACTGCCGAAACGTCAACTGCTGTTATGTTTCGTGTTTCTTATAGGGAAGTTAACGTATGCTGTATAACAACTGCGTGATTGCTGAAATGAAGACGTCAGCTCTCATTTCTGCGAAAACGTGCCTGGGTAGTGTAGTTTTATTGAATAGTACAGGTACTGAGGATAGAAACAGATTTCTATAGAATCTCTACGTTGTCTTCTTTATCCCAAAACGGGAAATTTTGCCTTCCCTTTCACTGAGTAGCGCAGAAAGCAGAGTTTAGTGCTCGCGAAGATTTCGACGAGATTTCCTTACGATCTTCCTCTTTTTACTGCCCTAGTGAAGCGGTATTGCTGAAGACCCACCTTTACCCCCCTTTTTCAAATGACATCAGTGACCACTAGTTCCATGTGTGTAGAGCCAAGATCCTTCTTGGCCCAGTTATCCGCTCGTTTTCAGAAGCTTTTTGATCTCTCCTAATTGATGTTTAGAGCTTGTCCTTGCATCAGGAAGATATTTCTCGTCAGTGGCTCGCAGAGACCTTGACGCTTCTCATAGCCTTCCTTGAAGTCTTTCGCGCCTTAAGTAAGTAAATGGCTATGGAATCACTGAAAATGGATGTTTTTCATACGATTAGGGCTGAAAACTCGGTACGACACTTATCTGAGAATGTTTTTGTCTCCCCAAAAGGGGTTGCGTTGTGCATGCCATAATTTGCAAAAGTTTCTATATGTTGTGGCTGCACCGTACCGTTTCAGATGCAGCGATGTTTTTAAGACGATAACTGCTGATCGAGAATGATTTGGATACGGCGAGAGGAGTGCTAGGTTTCACTAATGAATCACAAGGAGTTTTTTCTTCCTTGTGCTTAAGCTTTTTCGAAGTCGGAAGTTAAATTCATTGTTAACCATCGACCACTCGAAGACGACGTAACGACTCGATGAATGAATATAATAGTTTCGCATAGTTTTCTCTAAACAAAGGCGCTTTATGGAGTAGGAAACATATTAATCTGCCGTTGTAGGATGCTCCTAGATTGGGAGCCGCTATCGAGTTTCAATTACTGTTCGAGAAAAGCTGCGTATTGATATATATCGATGGATTTTCGGAGGAGGAGAGAATGTCGTAATGGTTAATTTCCTATTTGTGCTGTCTAGATTATTTCCATTGACGAATGATTGCTGATGGCTTCTGTATGATAAAAACTGGCTAAGAGGACGACAAACTAAGAGCCTCAGTGGTCCTGTGGATAACCCGCGCACCTCTGGAAAGAGTAATGGCGGGTTCGAATGTGACCTAGGGTTATGGTTTTGCCAATATCTTAGAATCATTTTGGTTCTATTTAACGTGACACATTGCCATGAAAAAACAAATTAGTAAATAAGAAATTATACATGGTGAAGAGAATAGTTATCGCCCATGTACTACTCTGAGCGGCTTCTATCCATCAACTAGCTTAAATACTTATAACAAATAAACGGCTCTGAAGAAGGCGAAACCGCCGAAATGTCAGTTATTGTATCCTAATAAATTCTATAATAACAACCTTGTATCTGCTTATTGAAGAAAAACAGTGAAGAGAGTTCGTGATTTCAGAGTAATTGAAGAATATGCTGCACAATTTAGTGTAACTTGTGTCGCTAGCTTGTATTCTATAACTCTTTAGAAAAATACGATTAATAACCCGGAGATGTATGCATTGGAACAACCCGCAGTACTTGGAATCGGAACAGCTCGCGATTTGGCCAAGCTTGCTCAGCTCTTAATGGACGAAAAACTCGTAAGTAGGGTAAGTTGGGCAATGTTTTTTCTAAGAGAAAAGCCATCCAATGGAAAGTGTTGTCGTTAAATTCAATTTTTATAGCCGACTCTAGACCTCCTCAACGAAAATGTTATCATCACAAAAGATATTGTCACGGGAGCACATGCTGAAAGAGGACGTGGAACGACCGTGATGCATCTAAAAAGAAACGGAGTGAGCTTTGAAGATTTTCAAAACATTTGAATAGAAGATATGGCGTCGTGAATCGTATTTTTGGTTGTAATATTTATTCATGTATAATATAAGAGCGCGTATGGCGCAGTGGTTGGTGGCGCCGCTGCGACACCCGTAGAATCGATCCTCGCGTCCATGGCCCACTTCCATCCCTCCGGGGTCGGCAAACTGGTACCAGACTTGCCTGAGAGGATATCAGCACTGGCCCAATACACCAGTAGGCCACTGCTAGTCATTGTATAGGCCAGACATGCATTCAATCACCTCCAACGATACTTAATAAAGTCGAATACATGGCGCATACAAAAACCATACCTCAGGGATTGATCAACGCCGAGAGCTTTATCCTTTTTATCCTTTTAACATATGTAGGAAGCGTATAAAGCGGTTGTTAGAAGGTGCCCTGTAGTACACTATTGACCTCTGGTTCGACTGCACGTTCAGTAATAAGCCTTCTATCCCTTCGGGTCCGAGAAATTCGTCAAACGAATCAAATATGTGAAACATGAAGCAAATCATCCATAAACCGGGATTACTGTCCAATTTTTGTCGGCTTTAAGTGTCGACGAACCAAAACTGCACAACATAGAAAACTACGCTCACTCGCTCGAAAGATCGTGGATACCAACCCAACTGTAATATGCAATTATAGGTCGATCATCGTCTGATTGGTCACACTGGACTTGGCGGTCAGAATCTGAGATGGGATGAGGAGAACAGATTGGTGATTGCATTTCTGAGCAATGGGCTAAAAGTATGCTGCAGCATTGGAAGTTACTGTATCTCATGAAATCATCGTCAATGTTTTAATTATTTAATAGGGTGGACTCGGAGATCGTGCAAGGACCTACGTTCGTTTAGTGGAGGCCATATACGACTGCCTTCCTAAGAATAATTACTCTTCCAGTATTGCTTCGTACCGAAATCGTATGATATCAGCGCGAGATTCCATAGAAATCACATGACGACTCGTAAACCGACTTGGGAATTAGTCTACAGTTAATCACTTTTTCGAGACCGTCTTCCATGATGCATTTGGATAGTTCTTCGGGTGTAAAGTATTTTCTATGTACTCTTTGCCTGACATTTTCCTCGAGATGATTTGGCTTGGAATCACCGTTCTCGTAATATTACAGTCATTAACACGTTTCTTCGGAGTTTACTAACAGTGCCAAAATTAAGCCATTTGTTCCAACAATGCAATTTTTCACATTAAGCACATTTCGACATGCGGGTGTTATGTATGAATCTGAAAGAGAATATTAATAAAGTGTCTGCATTTCTTACACTTGTCCTTGAATGGATTTTATTTGCAATAAATAATTTAAAATCTCTATAACGCTGAGATATTTGCAAAACTCCGGACCGCAGGTGTATGTGATGGAGAACGGGTGATTGCTAATGGCAAAAGTTCGATAGAACTAGCTGAGAGACAGGCAAAACGAAGGACCCGCATGGTGTGGTGGTGAACGTGCTACTCCCCGGAAAGAACGATAGCGCGTTCGTTCTCCACCGCAGACAGTTCCGGTCCGAAGTTTTGCAAATATCTCAGCGTTGTAGAAGTTATATTTCCCAACATACCTTGCCGTTAAAAAAAAGAATTGGCGATAAATAAAATGGTTAAGATTGTGAATTTAAGATTTGTTTGTGCTAAACTCTATTGCATCCTTGTATGTGCTTAAGTGTTCGTGTAGGATTTAGCCGGAATCAAGCATAAATTTTCAAATACGATTGAAGAGTTTTTTAAATTGTAACGGACGAAGACTGAAAATGGCTTTGTGAGGACCAGAATTCTAAAATCCCCATGAATATGTAGAGTAACAAGGGGCGCGTGTGGCGCAGTACTCGGAGGAAGCCGGCAATACACATGGGAACGATCTCCCCGTTCCAGGCTCACGAAGTCTTCAATCCATCCGGTATCGGCAAATTGGTACCAGACTTGTCGGAGAGGATAGCAGCACTGGCTCGTTTCATCGGCAGGCCACCGCGAGTTCTTGTAAAGGCCAGATACCATTCAGTCATCTTCAAGCGATGCTTGATGAAGTCGAATATACGGTGCATCCCAAATGGATAGATCATAGCCGAGAGATTCATCATTTTATTGCTGTAAAATGTTAGCAAGCGTTTTGAGGCTGTTGGCCTAATGAATCAGCACAGCATCACTCGTTTTTTTCCAAATTAATGATGTTCCTAATTTAATCTGCCGATGCGACAAGAAATTAGAAAGGAAACAATGAATTTTCAGTTTACAGAACTACTGTGCGAGTGTATTTTACCCGTTAATAGGCTAACTAACAATAACGATAGCGCTACGTTTTCAAAAATAGTTGTCTGATGTGATTGTTGCCGACACAGCGCATGCATGAAACATATACGATGCGTGCGGTCCAAATTGCCCACCTAAAATCGATCCTACAGCTTTTTTATTTCTTCCTCTGAGATCGCGTATTTTTTGCCCATTTTGAGTATTTCTCTACATCTCATGCACGTTTCTGCAGCTATTTTTCTTAATACAGTTTTTAAGCATTTCATACTCTTGTGTGAGAATGAGGGACTCGCTGTCCTGTGAGATATCATCAATTCCTTTCTCCAGCGTCATATTTTAAAAAATTATTGCTTCTTCTGTTTCGCACTTTACCGTGGTTATGTCCATCCAGTCTCATTTCTTAAGAAGTGTTTATTATTTTTGCTAAATTGTGAGAAAGCCGTTGTAGGAGAAAATGAACTTTGTTTTAGACCAACTTCTCATCGAGAGTACATAAAAAGCCGGATATGCTGATGACGATGAGAAATCTCTTGTGCTTTTCTATCCAAAAGGGTCTCCGACGACGAAAAATCCGGAAGAAAGTGAGTCTCAACAAGAGGTTAGAAATCGTGCGGTGAGCTACCAGATTTCCCCACCCTTCAACCATGTATAGAGCTTCGCCGATATTCAGTCTGTTGAGTGCTACCTATTTCTGCCACTGGTTACTCGGAAACAACGTATTTTCTTAAAATATTTATCACCTGTAAGGGATATGGTTGCGAAGGAGGCAAACATATACATTTAGGGAATGGTCGTTTGCTCAGGCCATTTGATTGACAAACACATAAACGACTGAGAAATGCTCTTCGAGCACATCATCCAACGGAAGTAGAAAAGCAGACGCTTGAGAACCCATTGCAATCGACTACAAGCAATCGAAACTGTTTGTAAAGCAATATCACGTGACAAAGTGGTATTTTTCGCCTATCTGAGGGTGGTTGACGTACATATTTTCCCTTTCCAATACTTATGTGCATAGTTCCTTGGTGCTGGAATAGGTTTACCTTTCGGTGGGATAAAAAACAAAATTTGTGAACTCCTTTTCAACTTAGGTGACTCCGTGGAAGGACTAACCTCCAATCGCACATCACAGCGCTATTCCTGGCAATACTGCTAAAGATGAAACCATTCGGAGATAAGTTACCGATTGATTTCAAAAAGTATAGCAAAGAAGTTTTGTGTGGGAAAATAAACCACTGGAAAGAAGGTGACTTCGGAGTCACACCGACCACGATATTCCAACCTTTGATTCCATGTAAAGTCTTGCCCTCATGAGTGTTTTAAAAAGGAATAAAATTTCCATAAGGCTTAAATAACTTTAGTCTGACCAGAGCCGTTACGATTCTGACGTTTATTCGCTTATATCTCAAAAATTAACAGTTTCGCCAACATATAGCGACTAAGTTTTCAGCAACTTCTTCGTGATAAGAAAAATTCTCTTTATGCATGGTTTTTTCAGACGAACGTTCGTTGAACGGAGATAAGATGGTTCGGTTAGTATACAACGTATTCTTGAACAGTAATTATGGTCAAAGGGCGCGTGTAGAACAATGGAGGCGTCGAGCGACGCACACATGGAATCGATCTCGGTTTCGGAGCCCCTGGTCCACGAAGCCTTCCATCCCTCCAGGGTTGATAGATTGGTATCGGACTTACCTGGGGGGATAACAGTACTGGCTCGATACATCGGTAGCCCACCGTGAGTCATTGTTAAGGCCAGATATGCATTCAATCACCTCTAACGATGCTTTATGAACTCGAATGCATGGCGCGCCCGTCAGGGATTGATCAATCAACGACGAGAGCTTTTTTTAAATTATGTTCAAAACTAAAACGGTTAGTGGTATCAAAGCGTCCAAGTGGATCATTTTTTTCGCCAAAATTACTTCAATGTTCACCGAGCCACTCCTACCTTTCAATAGTTCGTCGTCTTTTAGTGAATTCAGTACTGTTTGAGAATTTCTTGAAATCTCTGGCTTATAGAAATATGCTAGCGAAAGCCAGAAACGTAACGAAAAAAGATCCTGAAAAAATATAGTTTGCGATGCTTATAAAAGATATGGGAAGGCCCAGGTAGAATCGCGATAAGACTAAGAAGATAGCGAAGAGTATGAGAACAACGATTCACATCGGAAAGTGACCAAAAAAGTCAACGATTTTGGAATCTTCACCTTTCATGAAAAGTTGGGTACAGATAAAACTGTGTTTTAGACCGGCAAAAGGATAAAGGATAAAGTGTTCAGCGTTAACGAATCCTTGAGGGATGCCTCACACATCCGATTGCATCAAGCATCGTTAGAGGTGATCGAACGCATAGCTCGCGAATACAATAAACTGCGGTGGTTCAATGATGTATCAAGTCAATGCTGCTATACTCCCAGAATGGTCTGATAACAATTTATCACTTCCAGAGCGATGCAAGACTTGGTGAGGCCGAAGAGCAGAATCGAAACAATGGTCTCGTGTGTATTGTAGGCCGTCTTTTAACCACTCTGCTACGCGCACTCTATTCTAAAATGGTGTGAAAGGTAGTCATGTAAGAAGTGTGCAATATTAAATTGTGAATTAGAGATATCAACAGCTCCGCATAAAAATTATTGCATTAACGAAAATGACTGAGTTGTTAATGTTCTTCGCTAAGCACCGTTTCCGCATTTTGTGGAATCCCCTCCGAATCGTCTTATCTTCTCGTGGTACCTGTAGACACGGTAGATAAAGAGACGCCTACACTTGTTTGCATTATTATAACGTCTATGCGAAGATGAGGTCTCGCCATGGTAGAGGCTGCAAGGACGTCTTCTGAATCTAGCTGCTACATATAACTTAAATGATGCTGAGATATTTGCAAAACTCCGGACCACAGGTGTCTGCGATGGGAAACGAACGCCCTATTGTCCTTTCCAGGGAGTAACGCGTTCACCACAACACCATGCGGGTCCTTCGTTTCGCCTGTCTCTCAGCTAGTTCTATCAATCTTTTGCCATCAGCAATCACCCGTCAGCGCGTTTGATCTGGGAAGCCCAAATCGGCAACGAATCCAGTTAAGCTGAGGCTGCAGTTTTAATCACAATTTTAACCTATTAATCGGTCAGTAGAAGATCGATAGAACTAGCTGAGAGGCAAGAGAAACGAAGGACCTGCATGGTGTAGTGGTGAACACGTTACTCCCCGGAAAGGACAATAGTGCGCTCGTTCTCCACCGCAGACACCTGCGGTCAGGCGTTTTGGAAATATCTCAGCATTATTAACATTATATTTCGCAATATATATACCATGCCCTTAAAAGGAGTAGTCAGCTGCCACACTTCAGCCATATCTTCTTTAACCCACTCTCCACAACACGTAGACGCATCATCTCTAGAATAACAATCCTCACATAAGATTGTTCGTGGCACAGTGTAGCACTGCTCCACAAGGACGCCACAGTTTGCAAGTTTTGACGATTCTTTGCGAAAGCGATTGTGGAACTGATATTTATGGATTCCATATGGACAACTAGAAGGCGTGTTGAGAAACGGAAATGTGTATCGCAGTGGTCAGAGGTGCCCTTCAATACCTATGGAATTGATTTCGAGTCCCAGGCTTATCAAGCTTTCCATCCCTCCAGCATTGACAAATTGGTACCAGATTTGCATAGAAGGATTGCATAGAAGGACTGGC